TATTATGAAGAGTTTAATAGTTCACTTTTGTATCTCTAGATGAAGGCTTAATTTCTTGAATGTTTTCAAGCAACTGATTCTCAATATAAACTAATGAATTCCAACAACACAGATTTTTAAATTAATGCAACTTGAATCCTTTAATAATGTTAAAATTATTAATTAAAAATCATTAAATAAGACCCTTTTTTATAAATGACTTAAATTTTAATTAATTATAAATATGAACTTTTTTGCAAACTGCTAGTTATATTGTTTTTTACTGAAGAATAATTTCTGAGTTTTATAAATAAATGGACAAAATACAATGGTACCTAGTACTTCAAATGCTTCAGAGTTCAGTCACTAAATTTGACAAAAATTTGCTTTGGAGTTTGAATGATGCTTCAAAATTTGAACTGCATGCACAGGAAAAAAAATGCCCTCAAAACATAAATGTAGTCTATTGTATGCCAAATTCTCTCTCATTCTTGCATTATGTTCTTATGTTTTCAGTGCTTTTTTTCATTTCATTTTTGGTGTATTTGATTATACATATTGTGTGTTGTTCATTGATTTCTTCCTGTAATTTTTCTATGTCGACAGCTTTTGGGCATCATGTACATTTTGTATCTTTTAGTTCAAAATTTCCTGAATGGAACTTTTTAAACCACATTTGACATGTCTAGGAGCATCTTCCCCATACACATTACAAATGTTTTTTACTGTTTGCACAGCATTATATTCTTTCCAAAACTCAAAGCATAATATGCCTGATACGCTTTTTATCTGAAGACATTTCAACTTGATTTTATTCAAACAAAATATGGAAGTAAAAAAGTTTAAAATAAGCTTCTAAACAGAGTACATCTGACATTAGCAGTAATGTATTAAATTTCACAACTGCTGTAATTACATCACACATCTATGTTAAATACTGACAGCTGTTAAAAATACCCAAAAACTCTCTATTCAACCCAATATAACATTTACTTATTAGCCTGGCATCTGAGAAGTGTGTGGAAACAATGAAGTCTAAGATGATTAATAATATCAATGATTGAGATAAAAAAGGGATTTATCATGAAGCATGAAAATGGTATATGTGTGGTGGATTGCTGAAGTTGATGATGTGCAACTAGTAAATGCAATATACAGTAGACCCCCCTATAATTATGGTCCCTATAATTACGATTCCTATAAAACTGCGAAAAAATTGCGACAGTATCCGTAAAAACCGGTAAAAAACTCCTATAATTACGTAAAACGTCATCGGGCAGCCGAACTACTTTCCCGCCATCCGTAGCGCCACGCTACGGAGAGATTACTATCGTCTGTACAGTATTATATATAAATTATATATAAATTAGGTACTGTACATATAATTATATATTAATTATATATAAATTAGGTACTGTAAATATAATTATATATTAACTTAATTTATTGTAACTTTATTATAATTATATATTTTTTTTCTGCCGCGTGGCGCCACGCTACGGAGATTTTACGCTAACTATTGTCTGTACACTATGTAAATTAGCTACCGTAAGTCTAATACAGTACTGTAATTTTATACATTTCTTGTGAAAGAAACATTTCTTATTCAACGGCGATTAAAATTATTTATATTAATGATGTCTCCAAAGTTCAAGGAAGTTTTCGCAGAAAAATAAGTTATTAGAAATCGGCCGCGGTTTGCTGAGCTGTTCCGCGACGAAAACAATGTTGAGCAATGGCAATGTCGAATGGTGCACAGTCGGTAAGTAATCCTACAATTTTTTGTTTATAGCGTAGTTTATACGGATTATTTCCAAAAAAAAATATACGTATTTTGGAAATGTTGAGCGGATTAGTCTAGGAATCAATTAATTTTATGGAAGAAAACCTTTCAATTAGCCGTAGTCCGTAAAGTTTACACGTGTTGGGCTGTGATTGGAACGACTCGTAAGAAATCGGATTCCTAAAGAATGGAACGTATCTATGATCTTATAGGGGGGGTCGACTGTAAATATATTATTTTATTTATCAAAATAAGTATTGTTTAAGATATGGAAATGGATTAATTCATTTTGCCATTATTTCTAATGGGAAAATGATTTGGACTTTGAACACTTCAGAGTTCAAACAGCTTCCTGGAATGAATTAACTTGAAGTATGAGACACCACTGTATTCAGTTTTTTTGTGGTTGTGCAAGAAATGATCACATTTATGAAGCAAGCTATGATGCTGGCAAAGTATATTTAAAGCAGAACTATGTATTTATGAAAGTGGAATAAAATTGATTATCATCTGTCATTTTTGTATCTATGTATAAACTATGTCATGTTTACAGTATTAGTTTACAGTGTGGCTATGTGCCATAATTGTATAGTCAGTTTATTTTTTGAATATAATATTTCCTGTCTTCATGTCTATTGTCTCCTTCTGGAACTTTCTCCCAACTTGTGTTTAATGGCATATCAGCAGGTAACAATCTCTTAGTGACAATGAGAAGGTATGCGATCCTCAGTGTATAACGGAGACCACAAATTCATTCTTTGGTGAAGAAAGCTCTCCAGTGCACTTTTGGCACCGCGTGGAGACAAGAGGAAAAGAACAAGGAGACTGGAGGAATAAAGTGAAAACCAGAATCGTGAAACTTAGAAGAGTATTTTTTTCCAGTGTGTCTAACTTAATATAAGTTTTAAGGAAAGAGGTTAATATTCGCCGTGAATAGAAGTGATTCATCCAACTTATCGATATCACTGTGAACAACACCGAAATCTCTTTCTTGTATTATATATCTATATCTTCTTAAGTAGATCATAGTTAGTCATAAGTTTAGTTGTAAGGTATACATCTATATACCTTGATAGTAGTAGTCTATCAAGGGACATTGTATTGGCCCTTGATAGACTACTACTTCAATTAAGGAAAGAATTGTCGCAATAGACAGACTTATGTTGGTTTTTGTTTTCTATAATAGTGTAATCAGATTGGGGGGTAGAGGGTTGTATAGCTGGCATTCTATAAAAATTTCCTGTACTCTGTTATGCAAATTAAAGATTCTTATATTATAAAAGTTGAGTTTCTTTGTCTATGGCATTCGTGCACTTCACAACAGCCATTTTGCAATTGTGGGAAAAAAGATTTTTTTTTGTTAATCCCTGTGTTGAACACAAAAATGCAGTTAAAACTTCCCTGACATGCAAGGTTTTTGAGTTGTGATCTTATCTGCATTTTAACATTGTCTCTGCATTCATTTATGGAGACATATATAGACATATGTTGTATACAGTGGTGATATTCGAAATATTTAACAAAGGATTCGCTAACAGAAAATTTTTCCTTAACAATTTTTTTTCGCTCAAATGGTGCATCAGAAGGCTCTAGTTTAGTAGTGTTACAGAGTATAATACGTATATTTTAATATATTTTTTAAAAGAAACAAAACCACTGAGAAATGTTACATGTGTTTAACAAGGTTCGGAAAACTTTGAAAATGTTAACAACGGGTTCGGCCGAACCTGTGCGAACCCGCTGAATATCACCACTGGTTGTATACAATAATAAATGTTAAGAATATCTGGTTATATAAAAATAAATCACATAACCAGAGGGTATACAATATTTCTACAAAAAAAAGTACAGGTATACAGTGTATACTGCCATGTACCTTCAACTATATCCTTGCTGATAAATATAATAGTTTTTTAAATAAATTGGCATTTACTATAACTTAGATATAACAGTAGAAGTTTTGTAGTTAGTGGAATAGTTATTAATTCAGGAAGGCTAAAAATCCATTGTAGTGAATAAGGCTTATGCAGTAAAACTTGAATCACAAAATCTAAACTGCATATTTTTAAAATTGGCTTTGGGAACAAAAAATAATAAAGTGAAATTTGAATAAAGTTTTATTTACTTACTCTATTAATATTGATTATATAACAATAATAATAATGGTTTTTTATTAATAAAATCAAAATATACATTGAAACAGTTACGAAATACAGCACACTCTTCCATATCCAGACTAATGTGGACAGAAGTGATGCAGATAAGTGTGTGGGAATTTTTAAGTAAGGCTGTAACATATATGTCTACTATTGATATATGTCTCATCATTATCATGTCAGTTGTGATTGATGCATTACGCTCTTCTACAAACTTAAAGGCAACCTTAAAAAAAAAATGAAGTTAAAAAATGCACACACTGCAGTATGGAAAGGTAAGATTTGTTGAAGTACAATACAGTATTTTCAAAAATTCTTCGTTGCCTTTGATCAGCCTGGACAAGGAAGTGTCTGGATGTAGGAGAGTCTATTTAGAATAATTGCTTTGTTGTAATTAATATGTAATAAAAATTAATTTTTTATTAAAAATGACACTAAAAAGTGTTACAAATAAGGAAGAAAAAGAAAATATATAGTAAAATTTTAAGTTACTATCATGAAAAAGACAAAATTCTAGGATTCTTTTTCTCTAAAAAATAATTTAAGCCTATAAAAAGTAAAAAAGAAGTGAAATTTAATTTACTTTTGAATAATTCAAATTAGAAATATTGTGATGTTAAGCTATTAAATTACTCTTTTATTTTTTTTGTAATGGTTTATGTTTAATCTGAAAATTTTAAGTAATGATTTTCTTTAATATGATATCCATAAAATTTCAAATCCTTCTTTATTGTATAATTAATATACATTTTTTTTTTAGTAAAAATAATGCTTGAGATTAAATCTGTTTCTTATTTAATCAGCAGTCAAATTGCCTGATATGCAACAACAGTTTATGTTCAGTATGCAATATGAAAGAAAATTAAAAAATAATAACCAACAATTTTTACATTGTTAATTTGCAATTAGTATTATCTTACTTTTTAAATTTAGCATAACTACAAATTTAACATGTAATTTAATAATTACCCAATTTTACCAGCAATGCTAATTTATTATTTCCAAAATTTTTATATTCCAAATAAGTACTTAAATATGACATTAAGTATAAAATAAATAATATGAATTTATAATCCAGTGACATAATTTGATTAATTTTCATAATGAATGAAATATAAATGGAGACAATAATCACAGTTATTATCCAATTTTTTAATTTAAATGTTTACAAAGTTATTCTAAACTGATCTGGGCATTTATACAATTATAAAATTGTAACATCTAATATTCAAATGAAATTCCTGTATTTTAAAAAAATATATTGAAATAAACATTGAAATCTATTTTTATTTGATATGAACAAAAATAAAAAATGACAAATATTTAAATGAAGAAATTTTATTCCTTTCGTAACGAGATGGTAACAGGTAACCTGGAGTTTAAAGTACAAATAGACACAAAGAAGAAAAAAAAAAAAAAAATAGACAGACTAGAGACAAGTAGAATCTGCCACAGAAATACAAGTAAGGCACAAAGCTCCAGTTTTCCCTCAAATATCTTGTTGTGAACAGTCAACTCTGCTTGGCACTTGTTGCAGCTTTTTCTTGAGGGAAAGAAACTTGAAATATTAAGCAGATGTCAATACAGTTGCTTACCATTAATATATTTTTTACATGTCTTTCACCAATAAACACTTATTGTGTCAATCAAAAATTCAATATAAATACTCTTAAATCCTTACACATTATACAATACATTATATATATATATTTTTTTATTCATTTCACCATTCAATGATTTGATGAAGATTGAAGCTCAGATACCATACTGCCAAACATGCAATTAAATAATTAAATTATTATAAATTCTGCCTTTACAGTTGCATAGAAAGTATCAGATACAGCAATTAGCTGTATTTAGTAGAAAAATGTATATATAGAGAAAAAATTGATATAATTCATCTAGCATCAGGAATACTTTAATTTTTTTAATCTGGAATGAATTTTCTTTAAAAACAGAAATATAAATATCAGCTGCAAATCATGGATAATATAGAAATAAACTTTTAACAGTTTTGCTTACTGTCTGGAATATTACTGAAGCTTCTAAACAATCTCCTCCCAAAATTTCTAAAGTGCAATAGATAACAGTTATAAGGAACAATATCTTCATTGTAATAAAGTATTTTTTTTTCTGAATTGCTCCACATCCAATTTAGAAAAATTAAATAAATTTCAAATCTCTCAATTTTATTTACAAATTAACATTCTAATGCTTTATTTAGTGAGTAGAATATTGAGTTGGCAATTTTCTTTTTGCCATTCCAACAACATGGTTGGCACAATGGACAGGAATTAGAGCTTTTCTTTTCCACTCGCTGGTGGCACTTTTTTCAGAGACAATAAGATGTTAAATAATAACAGTAATGAGAATTTGGTAAATTGGCCAGTTCTGAAAAAGCTATTAAAATAAATCTTTATTTCACCCACATAGTATTGGAGAAATTTCAAAAAGGGAAGAAATATTTTCATAGATTTATAAATTAAATAACACATTGACACTACTTCTAGATCTCATAAGAAATTTTCCAAGAAATTATAATTTCAGCTTTTCAAATGTTGATTAATTTAATCAAAAGTTGCTGTTAAATCCAACAAGGGATTAACAACTGAGTATTAAGTAAAAGATTGACATTGATCATAAGAATCACATGCATTTACATTATAATGAAGAGATACAATTCGTTCCACCAATCTAAATGGTGAAAATTTTGAAAATTGTGATATGTTGATGTCCTGAAGAATCCAAGTAATAGATGTGAGCATCCAGATTCTATCACAGAGTAGCCGTGAAAGACAGAATTGGTCTCTAGAATGGGAATTAGAATCTAAAAGACAAAATAAAAAGTTTCTTTACAGGTCCTTTTTAAAGTAAGTATATACTGTGACATCAATGTCAGGGGCATCCAAATTGTTTCCATTGGCCATTGTAAATTTATTAAAACATATCTATTATATATTGCATGCAAAGAAAATACTGTTGTTTTCATATTTGATAAGCTAGTATCATAAATTATTTTATAACATTCTTAATATGAATAAGAAAACATTTCATATAAGTTAGATGATAATTTTTATTACAAAAGAATTGAAATAAATTTATATATATATTCAATATTATGTATAAGATTTCTTATTACAAACAAAAATAATTACAAATGAAAAACTTGCTCATTGAAATTCTTTTGACTTCAGATACATTAGTAATAATCTCATTAAGCTTGATATGTTAAAATTTCAAATGATTGATATCAATGGTAACAGAAATAATATTTGGAAACCCCAGACTCTATATGAACACAGATGTGGTAGAAAATAGTTCCTGTTTTGTTTTCATTAGAGAATCATTTGATTCTCATTCAAAATTAAAATAAAAATCAATGATATTTATGTACAATTGAGAACCGATTTTCTCATCTTAATGTTTCTTATAGGAAATATGCGGCCTAAACCGCAAATCCTTTGCTAGCACCAGTCATCTTCATCTGAATTGCTGGTTCTGACCCTAACTCTTCTCGTCCTAACATTTAAAAGAGTTGGATCCCTCCTCTGCATTGGTTTGTAGCCATTAGGAAGAGGTGAAGGCAACAAGCGAGAACCTCGTCCTATAGCTGCAGCTGCTTCAAAACTTAGTGGTTCTTCATTTCTCCGTAACACTGTATAAGGCTGCTGAGGATAAAACTCTCGCTCTATACTGCGAGTCTCTTTTGCAGGATTGGATCTGACACTTCTAATAATGTGAGGACCACTAGCTTTAGCTGTCCTTTCTCTCCACTGGGTTGTCATCTGGAACACAGCATGGGTTGGCGAGGCATTCACTTTGGGAAAGTTAATCTTGCCAGGTGACCTAGTTGGCTGGGGCACCGTGGGAGAATGGGAAACCAAAGGAAAGTTGATACCTTCTACCGAATGAATTTCAAGCCGAAGCGTAGAAGGTTTGGTCGGGGTTGGTGGCAATTTACGTCCTCCCCTTGGCCTCCGTTGGATTGGCAGACTGTGGACTGAAGATGGACTTGGACTTCTAGATCGCTGCTGCAGTTGTGTTGTGCCATAGTATTCATTTTGGCTAGGACTTGGATCTGGACTGGGTGTTCGGGAACGACGATGTAAACACGAGCTATGATAATCACGATCCCGAGGTATTGTCTCTTCTGTCCAAAATTTATCTCGAACAGGAGATCTCCCTCGAGGTGGTGCATCATATGGATGGGAAAGATAAGATTCTTCTCTTATATAAGCTGGAAAAAGATAAGTAAAGTGAATTTTCTTATTTATTCACAAGAATATAACAGTTATTTATAGAAAACAAATAAATTTTATTTATTAATGAATATACAGTAAAACTTCCCTTTGTGACCAGCAGAAAAAATTCCCCAAAATTTTTCTGACAAACTGTAATTTGTACCCACTTCCAATATGTGACCACATTTTTTTGGTCTATTTCACACAAATTAGGCTCTGATATTTGACCATTTGCACAAATCTAGATATCCAGTTACTTCAAATGCAATTTATTTCCATTTGGAGCTGTTTTATTCTGATTTCAGGAAGTAGCAGATTAAGACTTTCTGGAGTCCTTAGGCACAGAAGATTGGGAGCCACTCTACATAATTTCTACAGCTACAATTAGATGTCATAAAATCATTTATAAACTATGATACACAATTGCAACAGTAAAATTTCTCAATTTCAAGTGTCCAGTGGGCAGTCTAGTACTGTTTCCAGGAATGTTGTTATGATTATCAATAACCAATAAAATTAACTTCTCTATAGTAATAAGCGAATTAGGATGCTATCAATATTTTTGGTGACTAACCTTGTCTATATGTGAGATCTGCTGTTGGGTGGAAAGTGTTACAACAATCGAGCGGTCAGAATAATCATGTGGGCATGAAAAGACTCACCGAGACAGGTTTACCATTTGAAACCTTTTAATAGATATATAAATTTCCTTACAACTATTCATATAATGAGGCATAATGCCTATCCAATGGCAGAAAACAAGTCAGTTCATAAAAAGTCCAAATGTTCTGCTGATCGTTTTGTTTCTTCTGGCAAAGGCAATGAGGAGAGCGATGGCCCCAGGGCACACAGCACAACTTACAGAGATGACCTCCAATGACAAGTTGTACCTGGGCAAATCTTGATGGGATGGGATTGTGAAAACGATCCCAGGGTATCGAACAAGCCTTCGTTGTTGAAGAACAGGAGCACTATGAACCAAGAATTCCGAATGTCCTTGAAATGCACTATAAAGTTTTCACTTTATAGAACATTCATCCAAAGGCGCCTCTCCATTGGTCTCTCATTGTCACCAGGTGACAATTCAAAACCCGATGGAGGGCATGAGAGGGATCAACGTCGCAACAGAATATGACTCCTCTCCCATCACATTTTCCTCTACTTTAGTCCCTTCTATTGTTTTAACAAATAACATCAAAAACTTCCATTGTTCAATCGAGACTTTTGATTCTTCTTACAAGTGTCTGAAAAGGCGATTGTTAATTTCTTGATTGTTATCCCACATTCAGACCTCCTGATCGACCCCGTTTGGATCTTCACATATACTTCCATTAACGAACAAAAAATTCCAGCATGAATTCTTTAACAATGAGGAGGCCATTATGGTGTACCTCTTGAGAAGGAAATTGATTGTGTTGATCATCTGATTACCTCCACAAGTAGTGTCGTCGTCGTGTTGAATAAATGATTCCAGGACAGATGAGGGACTCCACCAATAGTTATCACAAGTTCATTTTCTAGAATATATACAAAAGTTACAATCACATCGACAGTGGAAACAGTCAGGGCCAGATCATTGCATAGACAAATGAGACAAATGTCTAGGGCCCGGTCAAACTATTTTGAAAAGATTTGTAAATAAGATAGTTTACTTTTCTGTTGGACAACTGTATATAATAAACAAAAATATACAGTATTGCTTTTTATATGGTTATAGTGAATTCTAAAATCTAAAGAAAATGAACGTGGGTTCAAAAAGTTCCCAAACTTTTTGAATAGCGCGCCTCCAGTTGGTTATTTTTTAATTCGCTTGGGGGCATTGTGTCCATGGAAACCTCCCGAAAATCATTCACGGAAACTTCCCACGGGTGGGTGAAACAGTGCTCCAAAAAAGCTCAACAAGTTTGCTTGAATATTAAGCTGATGTTGACTGTTTTTTTTGATGCAAAGTGCATCACAAATACCTATCTACAGGTCAGACAGTCAACACGGCGTACTACTTGGTGTTATGAAATGCCTAAGAAACAGAATCAGGCGAAAACAGCCCGAACTTTGGAGAAGCGGCGAGTGGTTTTTTCATCACAACAACGCGCCGGCTCATTTGTCCCTCAGAACTCGTGAGTTTTTGGCCAAAAACAAGACCACTGTGTCCCCCCTACTCACCTGACCTGACACAAAGAGACTTTTTCCTGTTCTCCAACAAACTAAAAAACATGCTCAAAGGAAAAAGATTTGCCACCATTCCAAAGATAGAAAAAAACGACGGAGGAGCTTATGAGCATTCCAGAAAAAGCGTTCCAGGACTGTTTCAAAAAGTGGAAACACTGTTGAAATAAGTGTATACGTTGTGGAGGAGACTACTTTGAAGGGGACCCTGACAAGTATGTGAAGTATTTTTTTGTAATAAATAAAGTTTGGGAACTTTTTTAACAAACCCTCGTATTCTTATGTTTCTTCTAATTGAAAGTAAAAGGGAACTCCCAATAATTTAGAATTTTTTTTTATAGCAATAAGAATATTATTAACTATATGTATTCTTGAATCCTGTGAAAAATTAAATAATTTTGCTTTTATTTTTTATTAAGCAGCTGCAGTGTCCGTTGCGATTTAATAGAAATAATAGTAACAAAATTTATTAATTGAAAGAGCCGGCAGGGGACTCTGAAGAAGAAAATGTCTAGGGCCCCAAAGTGGGTTAATCCGGCCCTGGAAACAGTGGTTGGAGCATGCGATGAGGTGAGTGACCAGGCAGAAGCATGTTGATCTAAAAAGTGAGTTAGCCTCAGTCTGATGTCACAAAAGTTGGGGAAAGCAGTGAAGTGCCATGTTGCCAATTGCCTCAACTATATTTAACTTTATTCAGAAGCCTTCATCAGACTACAGGTATACCTCGACTTACGCTGTTTCCAATTATACATTGTTTGTCAAAAAAGTATATGGAAAAATAAAAATCAAGTTTAAGTCATTTTATTCGACTTTATGTCTGTCTGCCACAAATATTGAAGTCGTAATATCACTAGAAAAGCGTTTAAAGCACATAAAATCATATTAAAATATATACATTTACAAGTATGTACTGTATTTACAGTACAGTACATGCATTCGTAAATTTAGATTACTTTTTTCTGTACTATATTAAAAACTAAAATTTATTTGTTTGTAAGCTTAAAATAGATCCTTATTAACCATATATTATTAAAAATGCATTAATAAATAAAATACAGAACCGGGTATGGTAATTTATGGTTTAGCCTAGTGACAAGCAGATTTGGAGACAAGTAAATTTGACTTATGTTGCCTCTCCTGGAACCAATTACCGACATAAGGCGAGGTATACCTGTACATTACTTTGAATATCAAAGAGGATCACAGAACATCTCTGTGAGTGGCTTTGATATTTGAAATTTGTTTTGGTAAATCAAATCAATCAATTAATTAATAAAACTCAAAGTTACTGTTTTGTCAAAAATTTTTTGAATTTCAATAGTAGTTTATTAATGATAGTCTTTATTTGCTTAAAATATCTTAAATGTTGAATAGACATTTTTCTTGTTTTTGTAAGTTGTTGCAAATTCTCGAATGTTGAAATTAAAATTTAATTGAACTGTTTTGGACCACTTTTGATTTTTCATGAGTGGTCATAATTGGGAAGTTTTACCAAATAATACAGGAAATCCTCGTTAATTCAAACTCAGATAGTTCAAAATCCCGTTAATTTGTAACTGTACTTTTGTCCCAGCCAAGGATATAGACTTACATGTTAAGGAATTCAGTTAGTTGGAAATATGCCTACTTCAAAATTCTGTCCAAACTGTGATATGTATATGTTAACTCTTTTGTTTAGATTGAAATGCCTCCATGCTATACAAGAACAATAGACCAAGAACAACTCTAATCTGGTCAATATGGTTTTACTTTTATAACAACCTATCTTACCCCTTTTTCTCTTATTTCATGAAATACCACTGGTTTTGGGATTGCAAGATTGGGCTATTGTACAGATATATGTAAATGTAAATCTCCGATAATTCGAAGTTGCAATTACTTCATCCCTTGATTTTGAACTAATGAGGATATCCTGTAGTGATATATATATATGACTTCATAAATAGCAAAAATTAAAACAGCCTTTTAAAATTTGGCAGAAATCAATCATCATCAAAACAGGATATAGTATAGAGCAGGGTGGTTCAACCTTTTTTCCTAAAGAGCCAAATTAGAAATTTAGGTATATTCAGCAGGCCACAAAGATACTTTAATATATATATAATACTTTTAAAAAGTTCAAAATGTGAATAACAATTATTTTGTATATAATTACAAAAAATATTGTATTATTGACAGTAAAAAGAGAAATTATACTCTCACAAAATAAAAATAAATTCAATGCAATTTTTGACATTGCCTTCCTTTTATAATATTATCAATATCTGCTTTTATGATACTAATCTTAATTCTAAGAATGTTAGGTTGAGTGATTCCCATTTAATTATCTCTTTTAGCAATTCTGGTGTTTTTCATGCACAAAAAGAATTGTTCACAACAGTTTGTCCTGTTTGTCCAACATGCATAACAGTTATCTAGATGAAACAGTTTTCTAACACCAATTACGTCATTATGACATCAAAGTGTATCCAGTAAAACAAGAGTAATTTTTATGACATATATTTTCATTTATTTTGGTAAAGTAACTAAAAAATTTAGGGTGCCGTGGGCTGTGAGTTGGACATCCCTGGTATAGAGTATGGTTTTTTTTACTTCATTAACAATTTTTTCTTGTTGAAGCTAATTAGTTTAGAATCAACTTTACACCTTTAAGTCCCCAAAGAAACTTCTTCTAAAAATACATCTCCCCCTAAATCTGGAAGATTTTTACCCAATTTGGTAACACTGCCTGACATTTCCTGGTTTTCTCAGTGAGGAAACCCTAAATAAATTGTCATTCTCAAATCACAAAATTTCATCCAAATCACAATCCTAAAGTCAAACAAAACAA